GATTCCCACGTAGTCAACCGCGGTTCGTGTCCCAGACCCGGTGGCTTAAAAGTCACGCCGGGCGCATGTGTATGCGTGCCCAAGATCCTGAGAGGAGAATGGAGGAGAAGGGATTGCAGCGTGACCATCCCCCCTGGGGCGTGATTTCTCGCTTTCTGTCTCTCTGTCTCTCTCTGTCTGTCTCGGCGGCGCAGGCGAGCGCACGCGCCCTACAGTGAAAATCTCTCAAAAACAAACAAACAAACAAAACAAACAAACAAAAAAAAACCCGGTAGGGCTGATGCTATGCTTAGTTGTGAAGGGAGTGGATCCCCCGTGGCCAGCTGCGTGGTTTGAATCCTGGCCTGGGCACATGTGCGTGTGTGCCCCAAATCCTGGCAGATGGAGATGGGAAGGAGAAGGGCTGGCATGATCCCTCCTGATTACAGCGTCCTCCCCCTTCCCCCTTCCCCACGTGTACATGTGCCTTCTGGCTGTTACAGAGAAAGTCCTGAATGTCTGTCAGTGTCTGGAAGGGAATTTACTGATAAATGCTACTGAGCCTTCCCCCTCAGCTGACAGCAGTGCGACCTCCTTCCTCCTCTCATACTTCATTAGTGTAACTTCTCTTAGTGTTACCAACGTATTCCTCCCATACTTCATTAGTGTAACTTCTCTTAGTGTTACCAACGTATTCCTCCTGTAATTCTGCCTGGCAGCATTCACATGCGCAGGGTTTGTTTACAGTGAAATTGGGTCTCCTTTCCCTTAGTCCCCAGTGCCCTCTCCTAATAGGAAGCACTGTCCTTTTGTTAGAAGTTTCCGATGTAAGTTTTCAGAGAAGTCCAAGTCTGTGGGTAATGATGTACGTGGCCTTTCTACACCTTAGTTCCCCTTGTGTGTGTGCATTTTTACGTGCGTGTGCACTTGTGTGTGTGTGTGTATGTGTGCACATTTATCATAGACATGGTCTGTCTGTACACACTGACTTGCTTGTAGCCGTTACTGGCGTGGTGACTCGGTTGTACGTCCGCACGCTAGCTTGTTGCCAGTTCTGTTCTTGCACAGTGGCCGGGTGAGCATCACTAGCAGACGGGGTGAAGTTGGGATCCTTTACATGCCCTGCTTCTTTTTCCTTTCAGGAGAGATGGGAGCTCTCGACACGGCTCACCAGGCCATGGTCTTTCCCCCAGCCAGCCAGGGTTTTGGCGTTCCCACCATGTTCAGGTCCACTTGGGGTCTGCATCTGGGCTCCCCAGTTTGCCCCACTGTCATGCAGTGACACCTGCCTTCTGGGCCACCGGGACTGGGCCCAAAAGTTGAATGTTTAGCCAGGCCAAGGCTTTTCAATGACCTGTGATTCTGTGTAAATCTCCCAGGTGAGTACGAGAAGGGTGTGGACCACCTGACCAACGCCATCGCCGTGTGTGGGCAGCCGCAGCAGTAGCTGCAGGTGTTGCAGCAGACGCTGCCACCTCCTGTGTTCCAGATGCTGCTGACCAAGCTCCCGACCATCAGTCAGGTGAGAGGCCAGGGTGGGGGTGTGCAGAGCAGAGCAGCCTGTGAACGTGCTGAAATGTGGAACATGCCTGTTTGATAAACGAGCTCGAGACAACAAAGCTGTGTGTGAGATACAGTGCTTGTGCCTCAAGGCAGCTCAGAGGGTTGGGGCCTCGCGTGCAGACCCCACCCCAGGCCACTCTTGGCTGCTCTCTTTTTTGTGGGGAGGCAGCAGGTTTTTGCTATAGAGCACGTGCACCCCCTGGAGGGGCAGACAGAAAACGAGAACTCACCCTGGGGCATGGCCATGCTGCAGTCCCTTCTCCATTCTTCTCAGGATTTTGGGTGCGTGTGCACACACACACAAGCTGCTGGGTTCTTATTTTGGCCACTTTTTAATATAGCGTCCTGCCTGCTCTTGCTGGAGACCATGGCTTCAGGTCACCAGGGCACACCCTCCTCTGATCTCACTTGTCTAAGGCTCAGGGCTCAGCTGCTGCTCAGGCAGACTTTGAGCTTGGAGGTGTGGACTGCATCTTGTATCCCTGCTAAAGCCCGCTGTTAAGACAACACCCCCAGATCCTGCTCATAATTGCAGGTTGCCATCTGTGTCAAAGATTATGCAAAGTGAGTCCCAGATGAATCTACTTGCAGGAATAGCATGTGTATTACATGTTTTATTTCCTGAGTTGACGTGATTGACGATGAGTCGAAGTGGTGATGGTGAGTTAGCCGTGTAAAAATATGAACGCCCATTGGTTTGCATGTCATCATTGGGCGGGCCATGCTCATTTCTGTATCGTCAAATCTTAACATATATACAGTTGAAGCAGACACTCATTTTTCAAGCTGATACTTACTCAACTGGACTGGAAATGGACTGGAAAGTAAATAAAGCTCCCAAAGTTGAGGGGAAGAGTTGGAAAACCAAGTATTTGTTCTACCTCATAACTTAGACTGATGTGCTTCCATTCTCCCTGTCAGGTCCTCTGATTAACATAACGTGTCTTTTAAAAGGCAACTTGGCACTGTACTGTTGGCAAATTGAAGTGTCTTGAAATAGGTGCAAGTTCATGAAGCTTAATGTCCTCTGTAAACCGGCTTCCTTACTTGGTTAACTTGGCCCTCGTTATCTGGAGAGGTTTTCTGATGGTAGTTCCAGAATCCTGTGTTCCTTCCACAGTGGCAGTGAGCATTTCCAGGCCCAAATGTTTGGAGCACAGAATGGTTGGTAACGCACTTACGGATATTCCTAGTTTGCACAGGAGTTAGAGAGATCTTAAGTTCTAATTGGTTAAGGGCTGGCTCTCAGATGCGGCTGTAATGTACCATCCACGGGAAGCCAGATCTCACATCGTGGTAGTGGTTCGAATCCTGACCCAGTTAGCCTGAAACACCAGCGCGGGCGGGTGCTCGTCAGTTCAGTAGACGCATGTGCTCTGTCCTGAATAAAGGGGAGGCCGTTCTTTTCTGTTTGACATAATTGATTTACATGTGATGTTGCACCTCCGTTCCTACCTGAGGTTTGCGGTGGTACCGACAAGCATGACCGTCATTCCCTTAGGTGACAGCATTGTGAGAGACATTGAAATGAATGTCAGAGCGGGCGTACTTTAGGACGGCTTAAGTCTTGAATGCAAAGAGCATTTTATGTTGAACTTAGGCTTCTGATCAAATGCTGACAAGTTCTAAAAATCAAATTTTTTTTTCCTTCTTACAGAGAATTGTAAGTGCTCAGAGCTTGGCTGAAGGAGAGGTTTTCTGATGGTAGTTCCAGAATCCTGTGTTCCTTCCACAGTGGCAGTGAGCATTTCCAGGCCCAAATGTTTGGAGCACAGAATGGTTGGTAACGCACTTACGGATATTCCTAGTTTGCACAGGAGTTAGAGAGATCTTAAGTTCTAATTGGTTAAGGGCTGGCTCTCAGATGCGGCTGTAATGTACCATCCACGGGAAGCCAGATCTCACATCGTGGTAGTGGTTCGAATCCTGACCCAGTTAGCCTGAAACACCAGCGCGGGCGGGTGCTCGTCAGTTCAGTAGACGCATGTGCTCTGTCCTGAATAAAGGGGAGGCCGTTCTTTTCTGTTTGACATAATTGATTTACATGTGATGTTGCACCTCCGTTCCTACCTGAGGTTTGCGGTGGTACCGACAAGCATGACCGTCATTCCCTTAGGTGACAGCATTGTGAGAGACATTGAAATGAATGTCAGAGCGGGCGTACTTTAGGACGGCTTAAGTCTTGAATGCAAAGAGCATTTTATGTTGAACTTAGGCTTCTGATCAAATGCTGACAAGTTCTAAAAATCAAATTTTTTTTTCCTTCTTACAGAGAATTGTAAGTGCTCAGAGCTTGGCTGAAGATGATGTGGAGTGAGAAACGAATGTCAACATAATAAAACTGCAATTTAAAATACTTTAAATATCTTTAACTGGGAAGTTAAGCAGCTCTGGGGAATAAGGCAAAGATGCTTATTATGGACTGTCCTACGCTGAAATCTACCAGAGTTAAGGTTTACTTTGTGTAGATCTATTTGTTTTATTTATTTTTTTCCCAGTGTAAAGTGTATTTTGATAGAAAGCTTTTCATTTTATAAATACACTATGAGTTACCACAATACCATGAATTTCTTTTATTCCTAAAACAAGCAGTTAAAATGTACATAGAACATGTTAGGTGCCCCTTCCCCCAAAAAATGTAGGGGACAGCTAAATGCACATTTTTTAAAGACAGTACATTTTGCTATGAATCCAAAAATTGTATAGAAACTTGTGTTTATGAAGACTGAGCATTAAAGTTCTGAGAGATCATATCTTCTCATTTGCTCTCAGATATAAATATGTGAGGTGTGCTGTGCTGTATTAACCATTCCTCCGCACCTGTCAGTCTTGAACAAATCAGTGGGCTTAACGTATTCTGGACATTTATTTCCTTGGGATTTAAATGTCTGGTAGTACCAGGAGTTAGGTCTGTGTCCAGCTGCAGTCTAGCCGAGCAAGCTTTGCCAGTTCACGCCTGCTCGTTTTCGGAACGAGGGAGTCTGCTGGTCTCCGAAGTCTTCCTTTCAGCTCCTCTGGGTTCCCTTCAGCTCCGTCACACCTACTTCACCAAGGGGTGCGTTTGGGTAGCCAGGCCTTGCATCTGTTTTATATTCTCAAATTTGCATGCTTGCCTGACTTAGTGTTTCTGAATGGATTTTTTTTAAGAAGTGAGCTAACTATCTTGTTGATTTTGGAATTGTATGGTTGTCACTGCTCTGTGAATTAACCTTAAACTTACGTAGAAATAACTTGGAAGATGTGCTTGCGAGAAGGTGTTCCCTTTGCTTTTATCTTCAGTGTACCCCAGTCCCACTTCACTGATTAGTTTATCTTGTTGAATGATGAGCACGGTGTGACTGAAGACTGCCCAAGAATGCAGCAGGTGGGACCTCGCTCCTTGTGAACACAAGGCCGCGACCTTGTCACTTCTTGGCATCTCCTGAGCCAAGCAGCCTTTCTCCATGTGGTTCATGGCTCGCTTTTGTCTGTCTGAAAATAGGGAGAGACCCAGGGCTCCCTGTGCATTAGGCTTTTATGTCAGCTGACTCACGGACTGTTGTTGACTAGAGGGCATATGCTGTTGCCAGAGAGAAAGCACCCCAGTGGGCATGGTCCCCCCTTTTTTCTCTTTCTCCCTCCCGCCAGGATGGTGGCCACACACGGACACGTGCCCCACGTGTTTTTCAAGCCAGGGTTTGAGCTGCATTCGGCCATGTGGGATCACATGCCCTGTGTGCACACCCTGACCTCTGTACTGTGGGGCCGGCTGGGCTCACAGACCCAGAACCTTACTCGGGTTTTTTTCATAGTGATGAGTTTAGGAAGTGGTTCTGGTTGCCTGCATGTCCCTGGGTGCTCCATGTGGGCCCTCCAACCTTCCTCTGATCTCTCACTATTAGGGGTTGTCAGGCTGGGCAGCACACGCTTGGGGGTTCCTTTTCAGGGACCTTCTGGGTTCGTGGCCCTGAACAGTGCTTTTTTGCACTGTTGGTGATAGGGGTGTGCCCTGTACAGGAGTGCTGGGTTGCTTTACCAGTGGGACCCTAAATCGAGAGCAGTGTGGGGGTGGTGGTCGGCGTCCACCCAGCTGAGAAACGACCTGTACCGCACAGGGGTGGGTGGGCAATTGGGGGGCAGGAGTGGAGAGGGGAGCTTGCCCCACGGGACTGTGTAATTGGAGCAGGTGTCACTCGGTTCAGAAAGGCCGGCTGTGGTCCCATGCCTGAGGAGTCGTCTTCACTTTGCCGCTGCCTAGGCCACGCATGAGTTCTCATTTAGGTGACAGTCAGTGCTTTGAACTTAGTTGCTACTGAGGGAGTGCAACCCCTTCCCCTGCCCCGTAACTGTATTTGGTAAACACTGTCCCTACCTTTGACACGGCTAGGGGACCAGATTGGTTAGGCTACTGGCTAACGGTGCCCATCGGGAAGCACATTGAGACGAGTGGAGTGACAGCACATTCCATGTGGGCCATGGCGGGCACAACTTGGGGGTACATCTGAGAAATATGTGGTTTGCTTGCCACCTGTGGGCCTGAGTGTGAACGTAATGTTACTGCAGAAGCCACTGCGAGGAAAAGGTGGATTGTGCAGGTAATACACAGTTCTTTTTATGTCATGGAAGATGCAGTTTTGTCATTGCTTGTGCCTCAACTGTAAGTGAATATTAAAGGGCTTGCAGAAACGCTCGGCGTGGTGTGTGTTTGCAGCTGAGTGCACTGCTGAGGTGGGGCTGGCGCAGTGGCACCCGACCGCGTTTGGGGAATGTACGTTCGTCTGGACTTCCGTGGGCCTCCCTGCTTTCCTGACAGTAGGCCAGGGATTCTGTACTGGTCCAGATTGCCCGGAAGGCCGGTGCCTGTGAAAGCAGGTTGCTGGGACTTTTTTTCCTTAAAGAGGATTTTACCTTAGGTGCATGTTCACATACTCACCAGTAGAGTCGGGGAAAGCGAGAAATCTCCTTCCATGGTGGTAGGCCATGCAGCAATCCCTTCTCCATTCTCCCCGGATCTTGGGCACAGGTGTACGTGCTGGCATGATTGTCAAGCCACCAGGTCTGGGACTCAAGCCGCTGTAAGCCATGTGGGAGTCGAGTGATAAAACCACTACGCCATGTGCTGGTCCCTGGTTGCTAGGTTTTTGTGGCAAGTTCTTGGGTGCTGATGGGGTCCCTGAGGAAGTGAGACTGGAACTTGGGGATGGGGTTTGGAGGACAAGGCCCCTCGGGCCGGTGTTGGTGTTGGGGTCGCTGTCACAGCATGTGCTTCGTCATTGCAGAGTAGGTGGCTGTACACAGTGGCACTGAGCACGGCTGGCACGGTGTCGGCAGTAACCACCCATGGCGTGAGGCCCGTCCCCGTCCAGCTCGCGTCCACACTGAGCTGCTGCGTTCAGGGTGCTCTGCAGATTCCAGGAAGTCGCTCCAGGACACGGTGATGCAGGGAGGGAGGAGCTCACTGAAGTCCCTGTTGGGAGCTTCAGTTTTTTTTTTTTTTTAATTATTTATTTAATTTTATTTATTAATTCATTCATTTTAATTTGACCAGAGATACAGGGGCGGAGGGATAGTGAGAAAGCAAGCTACTAGGTCTGAGACTCACGCCGTCATCGGCCATGTGGGAGTGTCTGCTGCCTTAACCACCACACCACCTGCTGTTACCAGCGAGCTTCGGTTTTCATTCAGTCTGGATAAATCAAGTGGGTTTCCCTGTGTCTATGTGTGTGTGTGTGTTTCAGTTTATTTTTTTCACGAAGGACAGACAGGTATCCCAGTAGAATCTCAGAGGTTGGTGTGGGCTTGAAGTGCCTGGTGTGCTCAGGGAGGGACAAACCTGGGCTTTTCCATGCGGGACAGTCGCATTACTGTTGGTGCCACCACTGGCCCACCCTTCTGGAATACATTTCTCCCTTACAGGCTACAACTTATGAGAACAGAACCGGCGAGCAGGTGCTGAGCCTGATCAGACTTCTGTAATGCTGCTGGGGAGTCACTGACGTGACAGGGGCAACTGGGGGTGCAGCCAGGGAGACTGGTGCCCAGAGTTGCAGACCCTGGAGGTCAACCTGAGAGGGCTGTGGGCCGGGCATCCCACAGCCGTCTCTGCAGGCCTGCCAGCACACGGTCGGACGTTCAAAACACCGAGGCCCCTGCATTTACCCGGCCCTGAAGTCCACGGCTGCCTGCCTTGGTGGTGGGGTGGTGAGGACCGATCTGAGCAGGCCTGCCGTGGTGTGCGTCTTTGAAGTGAGAGCCTATCCTGGCTTACCCGGAGTTATGCTCTGAGTCCAGCCCCCACGCATTGGACCCAGGGTCCCTCTTTGGAGAGCCCGCCCCACTCAGTGCAGCCGTGGGCATTGGGGTCTTCTCACTTCGGCCATAACGGCCTCCCTACCTCCTCCAAGATCCTGCCCTTGGTCTGGGAGTGTGGTTTCCTCACCTGACTGGCCGTGGGCCAGTGGCTTAGGGCCAGCACTGCTGGACTCCAGTCCCTTCAGAATGCGGTCTCTGGTGGCACTGGCAGTTGTGTCCCAGGTAAGAGGGTTTCTTGGTGGTGCCTGGGGAACGTGACTGAGAGACCTAGTACTTAGGGCTGTCTGCCATGGGTCCTGCAGCGTCAGTGGTCTCCAGTTAAGAGTGGCAGAGAGGGACCAGCAGTTAGCGTAATGGCTATGTCGCTGGACTCCCACATAGTCGACTGCCATTCGAGTCCCAGACTCGGTGGCTTAAACTCAGGCCGGGCATGTGTGCGTGCGTGCCCAAGATCCTGAGAGGAGAATGGAGGAGAAGGGATTGTGGCGTGGCCATCCCCTCTGGGGGGATGAGTTCTCGCTTTCTATCTCTGTCTCTCCCTGTCTGGCGAGCACATGCGCCCTCTAGCAAAAACCTCTACCCCCCCAAAAAAAAAAAAAAAAGTGGCAGAGAAGGGTCTTACCTGCCCACCCTTCCTGTTGCTCCAGGGACAGGGTGTGCCCCAGGCCTGGACAGAAAGTGGCCACAATTTCTGTCGCCTATGTTTGTGGCAATGGTCTCTGGTCTGGAGGCTGCGGGTGGTTCTAGGGAGACGAAGCTGTTCTACCTTGTGTTTGTTAATTATGCCGGACGGCCTTTCACTGGGCTTCACTGCCAAGGGGCTGGGGCTGGGGTAGGTGGGGCGTGAGGTGGAGGCCCAGGTGGGTTCCCAGCCCAGCTGGTTGGGAGGCGAGTGCAGTCCAGAGGCCAGCAGAGGTGGCCTCAGGGCCAAGGCTCCTGTGAAAGCGAGGCTGCCACATTCTGCTCCCCAGTTTTGAGCTGAAGCCCCATTTGGGGATATTTGGCAGAGGAAGAGGCCCCGAGGGTTCTTTGTGCTCTCCTGCAATCATGGAGGGGTCACATGTGCTCGGGGCAGGGCAGGACAGTCCCCTGGAGTTGTTGGTGTGGGTGACATCCTCCCAGTGGAGTGCATCTGGCCACTAGTCAGGGCCAGCGTGGGCAGAGCCTACCAGAAGCGTGGGAGTTAAGAATGGGTCCAAAGGGAGGGCTGGTGTGGAGCCCTGGGGCGAGGGGGGTGGCCGGCCTCTCCCCCTCCTCACTCAGTACCCAGAACTCAGGGTCAGGTTGGCCGGCTATGCTCCCACAGACTGGATTGCCCCCAGGCTCTGACGGCAGCTGTGGGAGTACTCTGCTAGTTGGCGTGCTCCGGGGGACAGCAGGGCTTCCTTCCTCAGAAGCAGGTTAAACCTTAGGGTCCTTGGGACCAACAGTTAGCGTAATGGCTATGTCGCTGGACTCCCATGTAGTCAACCGCCGTTTGAGTCCCGGACCT